GCGCGCCGCCGCCGCCGCCGCCGCCGCCGCGGGGCTGTCCCCCGCCCGCCCCTCCCCCTCTGCCGTCTCTCCTCGCCCCTCCGAGCCCGTCCGTTCTGAGCTCAGTGACTTCCACTGTCGTGGCGTAGTTGTCATCTCGCAGGAGTCGTCCCCGTAGCCCCCGCTGCCCGGAGCAGTTTGCCCATCTTCTGCACCGAGCCTCGCCCCTGTACCGATGCCGTCCCCCCGCCTCACACAGACATCCACCCCTTTCTTTTCTGGGCAAAGCCAAACGCACCTGTGTAGAAGTGACACCTTTAGGTCACCCGCCATCCTCAGTTCTCTCGAGCTAGTCTGTTCCTAGAGCTCAGCAATATCAAACCATAGGTATTTCAGAACTCCAGTATCGCAGGGGGATCCTTTGGGACCTACGTCTTCCACATGAAAGAAACTAGGGCTCCGATTCCTTTTATTTTCCCCCCTTCGTGGTTATTCATTTAAAAAGCAGATGGAGCACTTTATTTCCAACCTCAAAAATCACACCATCTCACCGGAATCAATGAGTGACAGAGAGGGGACCGAGCTGGCCTGGGGGTGGGGGACTTGGGTGTGTAGCAGGGAAGGGAGAAGTCAAGTCTGCAGGTGCGGGGCCACCTGCACCACTCACAGCTGCACAAACTGCCTCACTGTTGCTTCATCAATCACAGCTTCAAATGTTTCAATCAGCAGAAGATTGTAAATTCGATCTTTCAGGGAAATTAATCTATTCTGAAAGGCAATAAAAAGAAGAAAGGCAAGACAAAGGGAGCACTGGTGGTTTAAGTTACTACATAGGGATTTTTTGTCCTAAAACTTAGACCTGAAATGTTTTATCAACTTTTATTGTACTGTGTATAATTATATTGTGTTGGTGGTGGTGGTTTTTCAAGGGGAAAGCGTTGGTTCTATTAATTTGTAGCGTCCATCCCAGGGGACCTACCTAATTCACACACACAAGGACACATCTGCTTCGGAAGTGCTGTAAGTGGCAGCAAGGCTGTTTTCAGAGGAGAGCTTGGGTTTCCCCGTCATCCCTTTGAATGCCACACATCTGTCCGTTTTCGCCCAGTGGCTCATATTTCAAATGTATTTTCTCTTTTAGTCTCCTCTCACTACTACACAGAGTCCCATCATACCCCAGCATAGGATTTTGTGCTATGTCAAATGGAGAAAATAAATTGTCTAAATAATTTGAAATAATAAATAAATTTTCTAAATAATAAATTGGCTGCCTCGTTCCGAAGAGCTGCCACTGTCATCTTGAGGTTCCAGGTAGTGAGAGAAGAAGTCTAACCTGCAGGGGCTAACAACCACGAGCAGGGGGGGATGTCATGATTCATGAACACTGAGTGAAATCCAGGCTTTTGGCAGAGAATGTTGATTTACATTTTTAGTCCTGATTGATGGGCAGTATGCATCGGTGTCTCGCGGAAGTTGTCTTTAAATGCCCTTACTCGTAGCAGTTTAAACATTTAGAATGTGGCGATCTTAAAGTATCTCTGGCATATTTCTGTCCAGCTCACACCATAAAGCATTAGAAATTACCATTGAAAAATGACTTTTAAAAACATACATCAAATCTGCTTGCACCAGAGAAGCTTTTTTTAAAAAAAAAATACACTCTCATAGCCAGGTGCTAATATAATTTTATTTATGAAATTAAGAGAGGTGATGGGTTCTGGCAACAACTATTTTCACGGACATATTCTAAAACCACTAGAGAATTTGCTACCTCTCAGAGCCATTGATGCTTTGAGCTATCTTTATAAACAGGGCACAAATGTTTACTGCTGTGGTTTACAAGAAAAGGGCTACTAACTTATTTAAAAACCAACTGACCAACTTTTAACTAGGATGAACCAAGCACCTTGAGTGCTTTGTAAAATTGGAGCATACAGAGATTTTGAGCTTCAAGTATTTGCTAGTTTTAAAGAGAATACACCTTTTCTTTACCTTGTAGCAGTAATGAAAGGTCATGCAAAGTTTGCATCAAGTAAGGCCAACTGCCACCTTGGGTAGCCTATGGTCACATTCAATACCGTGAATGTCTTGGAACTCACAGATTAACACGAAGGAAGCAGCATCCATCCCAAGACCCATGTTCACAACTACAGCTCCGTGTCCTGAGGTAGAGTTAAGATTTGGATTAAGAAATAGATTTCTAATACAATTCAAGATCATCCTACAATATTTTCTTTGGAAACTGATTTAGCCCAGGATATTTTAAGGAGAGACAGAGAAGGCCTATTTATCTTGTCTAAGTGAACGTATTTGTATATTCATAAGCTATTTTTGGTAAGAATTTTAAATCTTTTAGCTCAATGCCTACAGGGCATCATGACCTTTGCCTTCCTCAAAAACACAGTTTAAATTGTACAAACACTTTATAAAAAGCTAATTATTGGTGTTAGAACATGACCCCACACAATGCTGCTTGTTTAACCACTTGACCCCTTAAACTGACATTCATGAGCATAACCTTTGTCACATTGTTCTTTTTGATGTAATTTGTAGAAATGTTTTTTAGTTCATAACGGAAAATGTATGTACCCTGAAAAATTACTTATTTTGTTTAACTTTGGTATAAAGGTGTTGGGCATTTTCTTGGGGAGGGGGGGATTACAAAAGAAGTTTGTCTCCCACATCAAAAAACGTTCAAAGAAATTAAGTATTTATTATATTTTTTGCAGATGTTTCCATACAATTCACATAACCTTTTTGTAAAGAGAGATGAAGAAATGGATTAAAGATTTTTAATATTTGAAATGGTAAATAGAACTAATTTATTTGTAATATATTTCTGTTATTTATAGATGTTTCCTTAATGTTTTACTGTGCATTACCACTTTAATTTAAGCCTTATCCTTGTGAATTTACCATTTCTTTTTTAAAACATGTCTAGATGCATATTTTAAATAACTGGAATGTAAATCACTAGCATATCTGAATTCCCAAATGTAAGTTTTTAAAAATTATTTTGGTTTGGAAAAAAAAAGATTCATTTGAAAGCCTTCAGATGGAGGGTTGGGGAACATTTTTATGGCTTTATGAATTGGAATTTCATAGGCTTATTTACCTAGATTGTGTGTGGACAAAAAAAAATGTAAATAGATGAATGTTTCCCATAATGTAAAAAGAAGAAATTAATAAAATAATTAATGCACTGCTTTCAGGTCTTGTGTTTTTACTAGAGTCCCGCTTCTCCCAGAATAAAAGTAATTGTCTTTTGAAGGGAAGAGTTAGGCAATTAAGAAGCATGTCATTCTCACTTTCATTGTGACAACACATACGCTATTCACTGTTGAGCAGGTAGGGAGATCTTGCATCCTAGTGAAGGAATTTCAGTACTGAAGAATTAAAAAGTCCTCTCTCACTCTCATAATCACAGGGTCAGGAGCTGCAAGAACTCTGTTACCAGGAGAGTCAGGTATATTTTATGAAGAAAGTTATTAGACCCAAACACGTGCAAATCCATGTCTATTTTACCCACTTTGGTTTCTTTGCATGTACTTCACCCCTTTTTGTTTCCTACACAGTTCTCAGGGGTAGGGAAAATCAGAATAATGCTTCATGATTTTCATTCCATCCTCACAGTGACAAAAAACTGTGCTTACTGAGGTTTAGTGACTTGTTCAATGTGGCACAATTATTAAGGGACAGATTTGAGTCCAGAGTTGAAGCCCTGTATTTAGCTGCTTCTTCAAGTGCTGTTTTTATCATCTTTCCACATTTAAAATTGGTAATAATTTACCACTGTCAATTTTGTCTGGTTTTTTTTCTTGGTTATATTTGTAATTCTTACTTTATATGCAAAAATATAGATTTACCAAAAAATAAAAATAAAAAAGTTAAATTGGAATGTTTTATGAGGTGGACTCACACTTATCTGTTGCCTGAAAATGCCAGAGCTCTGAAACCTGTGTCCACAGCACCTCCTCCTTCCATCAAGTTCTTGGGTAAACTCATCCACCTTGGAAAATGGTAAGCAGATAAGCCACTCTTTCTGATTTTTGTACATAAGCAAGACCTCTGCCAGTCACCAAAATAACAATGTACTTTTGAAACTGCTTCAAAAGAGGAATGATCAAGTGACTGAATCCCTGGGAGGTTACCAAGATCTCATTACTTTGGTCCATGCACTGACTATTCAAGTCGTCTGAACGGTGATTATACTTCTTGCCTTTTCACAAATTAATTCTTATATTTCACTGGAGCTC